TCATTTCTTCTTTATTATTCTAATAAAAATCTCTTATAATACAGATTTTTTTTATAAATTAGTAAGTTAATCCTTTTCTTGATTCTTTTTTTATAATTTATCACAAGTTTTTAATTAGATTGAGATCTGACAAGTATAATGATCAACCAAGCACATAGAAATACTAATCATTTAATAAAATAATTATAAACTTAGTATAATATCTAGAATTATTATCTTGTTATAATATCTACTTGTTATTAAGAATCTAATTTGCTTGCTCAAATAAATTTTGATTAGTTTTTATAATATAATTTACTAATTATAATTCTTATAAAAGTTTTAAATCTAATAATTTCTTTCATATAAAATACTTTTGTATATATATTTTTAAATAGGTATTTTATAATTTCTTGAGTTAATACTAATTATTTAGCTTTATAACAAATCTAAATCATATTTTGAAATATTTAAAAGATGAATTTATCAGAGAAAATTATAATATTTTATTTTTTTGATATTTTTTCATCCAAATAAGCTAATATTATTTTGCTAATTTTATAAGAAAAGAAATCTTTCATGAAATGAAATCTTAAATTTAAGTTCTTGTAAATTTTGCCAAATTATCTGTAGTACTATATTTAAACTAGAATAAGTATTATTAAGAATCTCTATTATCTTCTTGATTATTGCACTTTTTTTAGTTATAATTTATTCAAAATATTTTTATTCTCCAAGCCTAAGTTTTTTTGAATAATCTAAATATTAATTTTACTTTAGATCATTATTTTGACAAGCTTGACAGTCTATCTATATAATATTTTGATAGAAAATCTAATTATTCTTTAAAATTTGATAATTTTTCTATATTTATATTCTTAACAAGAAAATGCCTTCTTGCAAGAAAACTTATATATAATGATAATAATAATAATATTTTTTTATCTTAGATTATATGATAAATATATTTCTAACTGATTTTAGTATTATTATAACATAAAAAAAGATCTGGTGACATAATTTCTAAAAAGAGAATTATTACTTTTTTTTATTATTACTATATATTACATGTACAATAATTATTATAAATATTCAGAATTTTTGATATAATATATAGAATAATGAAAAATTATCAAAATTGTCTAATAATTTAGATATATTTTCTTTATAATCTGTAAAACAAGTTTGAATAAAATATTTTAAAGAATCAGATCCAAGCTTAAATTAATATTAAGTAATCCTATTATTTTATTATAGGTGAAATTGTTTATTATATTACAAAGAATATATTTATAAATTTTGATATAATTCTGATATTTTTTTATTAAATAATCAATAAAGATATAAAGTTAGCTACATTTATGATTGTTTTTAGTTTTTTGTAATTTAATGATATTTTTAATAAGATATTATTATGCCAATATGTCTTAAGTAACTTGTTCTTCATATCAAAAAACATATATTTGAAAAATTTCTATTCAATCTTTATCATATAATTGATATACAAATTTAAAAATTCCAAATATTTATTATGACCACTGTATATGTACATGTGCAGTCGCCACAAAAAAGTAACGTCCGATCTGTAACGATCAATGAACTCATCATAACCACGTTCTCGGGACAAATATTTCTTCGTTATTGTGATACAAAAGATTTGTGCAAATAACTTTCATGAGCTTTGTTACATAAACTTTGTCACCAATCAATAAAGAAGCATCATACAGAATAAAATGGTAAATTAATAGTGTCCTGTTAATTTGTACATATCATCACAATATTATATATAAATATTTGCAGTTCTGTTGTATTTAGCACATCTAAAGAAGTCTAATTTAATATCAATTTTTTCATTTCTTGAAAATCAGTAAAAGTCATAAAATGTAAATTATATCTTTTATTAGTTAAATTAATGAATAATTAGATGATAAAATTTATTAAATCACTTCAAAGTATGAAATAAGATGCAAAAGCATATTGCTAATCATCTGACAGATCTGTATTATTTATTTTTTTCAGGATTGTTATGTCTTCTTTATTAAAAATTATAATATTTGTTATACTGTTATCGAGTTAATTATATAATATCTAAAGCATGTAATCGTAAAGAGATTCCAAATCAAATTCTCACATGATTTGAGAAAAACATGTCGCATCATATTCAAAATCATAATAATAAATCTCACATTAAACAACATTACGATAATTACTCTCCTAGTCTAATCGAAACTGTATCTCACAATGTATTTCGTTATAATATGATTAAAAAATTATGAGAATACATGTATTTAGAACGGAATTGTTCAACTTTCCTATGTGAGGATCATAATCAACTCATTAGTAATGTTTGTGGATTGAACCCAGTCATAATTTTTTCAGTTGAGCAATCCGAAGGAAAGCTAATCTCATGAAAATTCATAGGTAAATTCATGAAAACTAGTTACAAACTGATGAAAGAATACAATTAGCACTATATGAGTTTTCGTAAACTTAAAAATTCTTGTCCGAATACATTTTGAAGTTCAGTAAATTTGCTTCCATTGATAAATAGAAGAAGTCATAATTCCATCGTATTAAAAGATATGAATTGATCTCTTTCAATATAAAGTATAATAGGTTATAATTGTGCATATTTTCATTTATATATTACACGCATTTTTAGGCAAAGGTTTTATAGCATCATAGCATAAAAAGATAACAAATGTATCCTTTGTGATAGTAAATAAACAATGTTGGCAACACATAGAAAGAAATATAAAAAATATAATATTTTAAACCAAGGCAGATGCAAACAATTAAACACGCAAAAGCTCGTAATTGCTTTATCATTGTTCAAGGCAGGCTTACTCCAGATCCCACTTGAATTCCAAGTTCTAAACCAAACTAGTTTAAAACTGGATACAACGACCAAAATGTCCTTGTGACAATTCAAAAGAAGACGTTCTTTTACGAAAATAGTATAAATCTACCAAGACTGTCAGTATATGGTCGAGCTACTCCTTGCTTCATATATTGTCAATATCCACGCGTCACGTTGGGGTATTCGATTGTCTGTAGATCAATATATATGTATTTGTGAAGTTCGTTTTAATAATGATCACTTTTTTTATTTTAAATACAACGGTCTGTTATAATAATCAAACTGAATGATGTAAATTAAAAATATCTTAGTTGCTTCCTTCCCAAATTTTGTCGATTTTCTTTTAAAATACCCGTGATTCTTTTTGACGTTTATACGATATTTCTCTTTATCTATATTTCCAGACGAGAGTTGTAACTTTGATTCTTTCAAACTATGTGTCATATTCGGGTGAACAATAATAATAATAATTTTTAAAAATCTATAACTCTTTAGTTTTAAAAATTAATTATCTTGAAATTTTTAGTATAAATAATATAATATAAATCTAAATTCTATAAACATTTTTATAATTTTATAATTATTATAATAAAAAAAAATTAAAATCAATATATTAAAATTTAATCATTTTTATAAAAATAATTAAGAAATTAAATTTTAAAATTTATTATATAATTATCAATAAAAAAAATTTATATAAAAGAAATAGGTAAAATATTAAAATTATAGAAGAAATAAATATCTAAGATTTTATGTGTATATAGTAAAAAATTAATAAAATACTAAAGAAAAAAAAGTAAATAAATAAAGAAAAAGAAATAAAATAATATATATAAAAGAAAGTTAAAGATAATAGAGAAATAAATTAGATAAATATATATCTTATTAAAAAAATAATAAAATCTATAATATAAAAGTATACTTATAAAATTATTCTAGTACTTTTATTTTTTTATAAAATATAATTATAAGAAAAATCATTAAATTTGATTAAAAGATATATATATTTAGTATAAAAGATTTATATTTTAGATAAATTTCAATAAATTATTTTTAAAAATAAAATTTTAATTCTATTTTATTTAATTAAGTTATTAGATATTAAGATTTATTTAAATATATATTATAATTATATATATTTTATAAAAAATATTTATTAATAATAACTTTTTTGAATTATTATTTATAAATTTTACTATAAAAAATTTTAATTAAAATTAATATAAAATATTATATATAGTAAATAATTTAATTATTAAACTTAAAATTCAATTTTTTATAATTACTAATTCAATTTTTATAAAATTTAAATTATACTTTTATTAAATATAAAATAATTTACTTGTAGAAGAAAATTTAATATTATAAATATAATTACAAGGAGGATATAATTATGTAAAAAATAATTATATAAGAGAAAGATTATATTATTAAAATTTAAATAACTTTATTAGAAAAATTATTCATTTTTATTTTGATATACAAATTTTTTATATTGATTTATATATAATGATATACAAAATAAATAATAATTAGTATTTTAATTATAATGAATTGAATAATTATTCAAATAATTAAATATTTATATATATTTTCTTTAATATTTAGAAAACAAGTTTATTTAAGATCGTAAAATAGAAATTCTTAATAAAATTTTTCATAAATTTGCATTTTACTTAAAAAAATAAACTTATAAAATCAATTAAAAAATTTTTAAAACATTAATTTTAATAAGTTATATATAATTAAGCTTAAATAAATTTGATTATTATATTATAAAGAAAATATCATTAAGTTTATATAAAGATTCAATGCTCTATTATTGTATAATAAAGTAAAATATAATTTAAATTATTTTTTTGACTATGCATTTAATATTTTTATTATAAAAAATCATATATAAATTTTTTTAATCATTCTTGCAAGCTTATTTTGAATATAATATACGAAATTATAAAAAATTTTACTAATATATAATTATAAGTAAACTTGTTCTCTATATATTAAAGAATACATAGATATTTATATTATTTGAATTCTTTAATATTTCATGTCTTGCGATTTGATTGGTTTACCAAGACCTGATGAGAATTACGTATGATTTATTGAAAGTATATCATTAATGATAGATTTTTTGTGGGGCGAAACGAAAAATTTTTAAATGGACGAAACCGAAATTTCACTTGAAAGACTCGATTTAACGATTCAACAAAGCAAGGTTGATGATGAAAGGAATAAGGAACAAGAAGAAATGGAGCGACGAGTCCTTTATAAAATGGATATCCGGTTGATTCCATTGCTTGCGCTTTTATATTTGATGAGTTTTTTGGATCGGTGAGTAAATTTTTATATTTTTTCTTATGCTATTATTACAGTTAAATAACCATTATAACTTAATAGAGTCAATATTGGAAATGCAAAGTTAGCCAATTTGGAAGCTGACCTTGGTCTACATGGAGCTCAATATAACTGGGCATTGAGTATTTTCTTCTTGTATGTATTACAAATTGGTTTTGTTTGTGACTTTTAACTTTATTTCTTATGGAAAACAAATAAATACTGTAGTGGATATATTTCAATTGAGGTAATAAACAATAATGGCAGAATTTGACGAATGAAAATAATATTAAATGTTTTTATCTTAGATCCCTTCAAATATAATTTTAATAAAGACGAAACCTTCATTATGGGGTAAGGATCAAAATTTATTCGCAGTTCTTTAACTAACTACTAAATAATCGTTTGCTAAAATCATATCAAAGTCCCTTTCATAATGATTGTATGGGGTGGAATCACTTCATTAATGAGTTTAGTAAGCATTGTTTTTTATTTACACGTTTATCTCTTAATTATCAAACAATTTAAGTGCAAATTTTTATCAATTAAGGTGAAAAACTTCACAGAACTGATGGTCACTCGATTCTTTCTTGGACTTGCAGAAGGTGGTTTATTTCCTGGTGTTGTGCTCTACCTAACATTATGGTATAAACGTTCAGAACAAAACTTTCGAATCAGCCTGTTCTTCGCAGCGTCTGCCATTGCTGGTGCATTTGGAGGATTAATTGCACATACGATAATGAGGCTGGATGGAGCCGGAGGATTGACTGGATGGCAATGGGTAAGAGCAACTAGCATATCTACTAGATCGAATAATGCATAGATCCTTGGCTGATACTTGTATAATTATTTACTACAAGATTTTCTTGCTTGAAGGATTGCTAACTGTTGTGGTTGCATTTGCTGCTTTTTTCTGGATCACTGATTACGCAAGAAGTGCTCGATGGCTGACACAAGAAGAACGTGAATTCGCAGAAAAAAGATTAAAAGAAGACGCTGGCGAGGCGCACGCCCCACATTTTAATAAACGACATTTGAAAGCTGCTTTGCACGATTGGGTAGGTTCGGAAAAATCTTTCAATCTATAATTTATGATTCATCCTCTTTGTAATTTATTACATTGAAATAAATACTATTCAGAAAATTTATCTTGGAATGATGATGTCAATATGCACTGGAATGGAGTCGTATTCATTCGCATTGTTCTTGCCTGTTATTATTAAAGGGCTTGGATTTAACCGAGGTATTTGGAAATATATAGTTTATATTGAAACTTTATTAATGAATTTATTTACTTTGAATAATAATAGCTCTGGCCCAACTTCTTACAGTTCCTCCATATGCTTTGGCAGCGACAGTAACAGTCTCGGCAGCAATACATTCAGATAAAACCGGATATCGCGGACCTTATGTTGTCGGCTTCGCAATAGTTGGCATCATAGGATATCTAATGATCATTTTTCTGACATCAGTTATAGGTCTGTGTTTTTTTAATCCATTTTTTATTTTTATCCAAATATACTTATAGATCATATTTGGTTTGATTACAAAAGGAAAATACATCGCCTCATTCATAATTGCTATGGGACTATTTCCATGCATCGGAACCGGAATAACTTGGGCCGTCAACAATCTAGCAGGTGACGGAAAACGAGCGATCGGTGCTGCTTTATTAACTATGTCTGCAAATATCGGCGGAATCTTCGCTGGTCAGATATACCGTGCGAGTGATGCACCTCATTATACGATGGGTCACACCATTGCCGGGGTCTCGTTGTTGGGTGTATTGATTCTAGCGGTGATTTATGGGACATTATTGAAGCGTACGAATCGATTAAAAGTTCAAGACCCGGAAAGGTTTACTAAAAATTTGAGTGAAGATGAGATTAAGAATCTCGGAGATTGGCATCCCGGATTTTATTATATTTTATAGATAATAATGAAGCATTACAAATATACATGAATACATGATTGACTTTTAATCTGCTTGGTTACAATTTATACATTAAGAATATCCAGGTGGTGATGAAATGAAACGAATAGCAGGGTAATGGACAGTTTGCTGTTGTAACTGCATATAATTCGGCATTTGATTATATTCAGGTAAAAGAGTCGACTGTTCCTGTTGCTGTTCTTGCTGTTCCTGCTGAGGCACAGTTATATTAGGTTGTGCCTCGTCTTTTTCCTCCTCTTTTCGATCTATTGCCCGAGAGTGTACTTTGAATAAAAGGAAAAGTAATAGTGCAACACATAAAACTCCTCCTATTATGGCTCCAATTATAGTTTTAGCAGCAGTATTATCATACTGTTGTTGATCGACACTATTTGTTCCATTAGTTGTCTGATTTTTTGCTGGATTCCCAATTGAATTATCAGGTGGAGCAAATGGTAATGGTTGCCCGCCTGTAGATGTCATCCATTGCATGTTATTTTCTTTTGTAGCGTTGAGGAGGAGGAGCGGTGGGTAAGTATTGTTTGAAGGTAGTCTTGAAAGTGCGTCTGGTGGTAATTTACCTAATTTTTATAATTATAAAATTTTGTTATGATTTTGAAGGATCCGGTGTTCAATCATTATGTCATTTGACCTACCAAACGTGACAATCATATAATTTCCATAAGTTATCGCAGCATGCCAATAAGGTATAGACAAATTCTGTAAATATGGATCTTGAAAAGTGATTGTTGGAATTGACCAAGTAAAGCTTGTAAAGTCTAGCGTATTCAAAATTACGATCGCATTGTTGTTTGTGATCTCCGTAGAATTGGTGTTGTAACCACCGTATATTAGGATTTTGTTTGGTCCGTTATTTACTTGATGTGAACATTTAAAATTTAGATGGGATTACGTATAATTCAGGATTTTTATTATAGATTACGTACGTTTTACTGCAGTGTGTCCAGCGCGATTTGGCACATTTTGTGAATTGTTTGCGCTCTTTTTAAGGAACATTCGAAGTTAATCTTTGTTATTTAGAAAATGTTGATAAAGTTATAAGAGAAATATACTTACAGCATGCTTCCATTGTGAGTTATTTGTATCGAACATCCATATCTATAAATTTTTAATAATGACGAAACTTAATTAAGAATCCCATAATGTGATACTTTAACAAAAGTAATAAATTGTATATTTTACTTCATCCATCCCAATAAAAGAACCAGCCTCCGTTTTACCACCCACGTACACAATATAAATATCCAACAAGGTTGCTGAATAATCGTATCGATTCGGTGGAAGAAGATATGAATTTGGAGAAACTAAATTCAAGATCATGGAGTCCACGTGCAAAATGTACATGTTGTTATCAGCAATTGCGGTCAAGTTTTGAGAATCATTTGTATCGGTAGATCCGCCGAAAATATATAATCTGTTGCTAGAGTCGAGTACCATAGATATTCCACGTCTTTGTTGTATTTTATTCTTATTAGAGCCTGAAATGTTTAAAGTTGTCCATTGATATCCCTCCACATTTAATGCGTAAATATCGGAATTCATCTCATAAATATTTTGCTTGCAATTTTGAATTTCACACAATTAATCAAATTAATTTACATGACAAATAAAATATTCAAAAAATAGGAATAAAAACATACCATTTGATCATACTTTATGCCACCATACAAAAACAAGTGTGTCTTATTAGCAGCCGAAGCTGCCCAAGCTAGTGACGGAATGACATTCCCGGATACCGTTAAGTTTTCAAAATCCGCTGATTCTATGGTCAAACTTGAGGCTAGATCCAAAGAAAGCACATCGCTGACGATAGCACCTTGTTCAGTTTTACCGCCGATACAATAAATTTTGTTTAATGAATATATGTAGGTTGCTGTGTGTCCATATCTTCTTGATATTTCATTATTAACAATAATTTCTGAATGAATTTTATTGAATAAAAGTGAGGAAAAAATAAAGTATAAAAATGGTAGATATTTCGTGAAAAATAAATCCATATTCATAACAATTGCAAAAAAACGATAATAATAAAGATTAGGCTTACTTTAACAATGTCTGTGCTTTGTACACGTCGTAACGGTAACCGTAAACTCTTGAACCAAAATTTTCAGTGAACAAAATATATGTATCGTGATTTGAAGCTATTTATAGACTAAATGAGCCTTATTTGGTAATGTTTATAACAAACGTCACGCAATACACAAATCAGATACATGAACGTACATGTAGAAATGTAAAATTCTGTTGACAAAATCAAAACAAATGTACATGTACCCCAAACAAAGGAAGATTTGCAATTACGATTGCGTTATTCAACAAACGCGTATCACAATAATCACTAAAACGATGCCCAAAACTTATTCATAAAGTTTATACTTTTTACCGGAAGAATACGATAATCGATTTTCAATTCCAGGGGTTGGCTAAAGCTTTGTGGACACGTGATTTTGTTGTGGCTGAAATTACTTCGGAAGGATCAATTTTAATTGTTTGACTTTTACTCACTAATGCATTTTTTACTTTTACTCATTATGCACTTTTATTATGTAATAATGTGCTAAAAAAATGTGTTCTTTTCTAAAAACCAAAAACAAAAATGAGCTCTTCTATATACAGTGTGTAACAAAAGTCTTTGGACAAAATCATTTGATTATTGTGCCACAATGGCTGAGCTGATTAATGGCTCATTTGAGAGCCAAAAAGCATGAGATTTATTTAAAAAAAATTAGTATGGGATACGTTCACCATTTTTTTCGATAATAAGCTCACAACGTCTTTTCATAGATAGACCTTATTAATTTATTGAGAACCGGTTGGGGGAATTCCTTCCCATTCCTCCTTCATAAATTGCTCCAATTGCCGAAGATTTTTGGTTGTCGTATCTCTACATTTCTCTTAACGATATTCCATAGGTTTTCAATAGAGTTTAGGTTGGGACTGTTGGAGGGCCAATTCATTACTATAGGGAAGTTCTCTTGGAGGAATCCGCTATTTTGCTGGTATGCTTCGGATCATTGTCTTGTTGGAACCGCCAATTCTTCTTGAACATTCTCTTAATCTCAGGAATATATTTTTGTAGGATATTGACATAGAGAGGACCATCCATTATTTTCCTTACAAACTCGGTTTGCCTTTTGAACAAAATCCACCTCATGCATTAATTTTTGATCGGTCTTGTGGGATCTGACAAACTGGTCGTTCACCTTTATACCAAACTTGTACAGTATTTCGGAATAGGCGGAATGATGTTTCATCAGAAAATAAGGTACGATGCCATTTGTCATTGAGGTGTTCTTGGGCCCATTCTACACATTTTCATTTGTGTGCTTCTGTAAGCATTGGTATTGCCATAGGGAGCTATTTTTTGAAATTATGCTAGTCTAAATGCCTTAAAATTGTCATATGTGATACCTTTGTGCCATTTTTGATCAATTTAGTAGCTAATGTTCTCGTTGATATGGCAGGATTCTTTCGAACAATTTGTCCAACAGATCTTGAGCATCCAGCCGTGATTTTTCTCAGGTGACCACTCCGCTTTTTGTGAGCTGTACTTCCATTTTCTTTTAATTTTTTAATATTGTAATAGATAGTTGATTTGGGAATTTTCGTTAGGTGGCGTATTTCCACTACGCTCTTGCCCTGCAGCCAGAAATACTCAATAGTTTGGGCATGTGTATTTTTTTTGGCAGCTGGCATTTTTATTCCTTTTTTTTTTTAGCAAATGTACCGATAGAATCCAGGAGAAATAGAGTAAAATGATTCTCGTATAGTGCAAAAAGTCTAAAGACATCAAATGACTGTGCCATTGCTGAAATTTGATATGATTATCATACTATATAAGTAATGATTCATGTGATTTTTCACATGATTAATGCTTGTATGAAAGCCAAAAAATTTTTTAGACTTTCAATTAACTGTCCTGGATAGCTTAGAAAAAATGGCATCTTTTATGTATGAAGTAAGTACATCTTTATTTGTAACTCAGGGGGCATCCTGGTTTTTTTGTCATTGAGATTGGAGAATTTTTTTAAGAGATGATTTATTCTCAATTTATTCATTCTCTTAATTTATTCATTTTTTAAATTGATTTATTAACAAATTTTTTATAATGCCCAGATGCAACAAATATACCAGACACTGCTTGGCTACTATCAAAAAGTGATAGAATAACAAGTCAACACTCAATATACAAGTATCTGATACTAAATATGATGAATCAAGCTTTGACATTACTTGGACAGAAGATAATGATACTGTAGATAATCAATTCAATATATAAGTATCAGATACCAAATATAATAAACCAAGCTTTGACACTACTTAGACAAAAGATAATGATACTGTAGATAATTAATTTGTACAAGAATTAAAAGAAGTAAAACCAAGCATATTTGAGGAACTCATTAAACAAGCAAGGCAACTGGATATATGGGTAACAAAAGAGCAAAAATGATTTTATGCTGGCTTTGCAGAATCAATATTGCGCAATAAGAAAGTAGTCTTAAAAAAAGTAGCTGCAGACTCTAGTAAAATCACTGATTGGTTTTCTGACAATCTCTCCATTAATAATAAAGCAAATTTCACTCATGACAAGACAGATCTTCTATTTGATAAAGCAGTTAATTTCAGCAATGATGATGATGACAACTATAATAAATTTAATTTGGCATCTCTTGATACTTTGTTGGCAAAAAAGCCTGAGAATATATAACTTCATACAGCAAGTCAATTTCTTTATCTTGTTCAAGACCAAGGATTTTCTAAGCTATTGACTAGTAAGCTTCTGGTGCATAGTGTTAATAAAGATTCATGGTATATATAGATTATTTGTTCATAAGTAAATTAATGGTTAAGCAAAGATAAACTTCATATATTATATCATGGACATTACTCAAAAATCTCTCTTCTATACCATAAAAACTTCAAGTTACATATTTTTTGATATTTGTGCGTGAATAAATTTATCTTATTCTTTACTATTTTATAAAGTTTGTTGAAGAAAAGGCCATATCAACTTTTGGATTTGAGAAAAAAAAATAATCTCTAAAGTAACAGCTCGATCATGGCTATGGTACAGAAAGTCTAAAGCCATCCAATATTTTGAATGACTAAAACTTTATATCTAAAAATAAAAGTTTAAAAAAGAATATATTGTTAAATAACCTTTAATAAGAGTTATAATTATTTGTATTTCTTTTACAAAGTATAATAATAATTTATTGAGTAGTTAAACTTTTTTTATGAATACTTTATTATAAAAAATAATAAATTATAAAATTTTCAGTATCAAGAAGTCTTCTCTGATTGGCTAGATCTTTACATGATACATGTGATTTTGTATTTATAACATCTGATTAGTTAGTTTTATATGATACATATGATTAGTCTTCAATAGAGTGAACTAATAATGAACTTTAAATAAATATGTTAAATAATATCATTCTTAATTCTTAAAAATCACTTTTATATATACGCTCAGTAATGTTATGGATTATTTTTTTTATTTTAAGAATAGAGAGAAAGAGAGAAACAATTATTTAAACATAATCTCATAATTTCCCAAATAAAACTCTCATTTTCTAAATTCGATTCAAACATAATTCCTCAATTTTTCAGATACAACTCATTTCTATTTTATATAGCCAAATTCTTTCAAAATACTCTCTGAAACTTGATGATATAATCAATATTTCTTTACCGCAAAGATAGTAGCCTTTCTCAAAAAATCTCATTCATACATACTTATATATTAATCAGATTGACATGCAAACTGACAAATTCTGATTAAGATGACAGACTCCAATGCATATAAAACTATTTCTTTAAGGCTTTTGAAAGTATAATTACAATGTAGGTGTGAATACCATTTTGTATTCCCTCAAAATAACTCTATATAATTGAGCTCATAGTGAAACTTCAGATAAAAAATACACATATAATCAACCACTTTAATAATCTCTTGCAAATAATTTTTTTGAGATGCAAAATCAGATTGTCAATCAAGAATATCAGCTGCATAATATTATAAATTATCAGATCAATATGTAACTTACATGAATCATATTGCTTCACTAATCCTTGTACTTATAACTCACGCTCTTTAAGAATTTACTAGATATTCTTTAATTTAGTTATTCCATTAATATTAACAAATATCATAATTTGAGATGATCCATCAGACATCCTTCTGTCATGGAGAAGTAATTATTTACCCCTATTCTTAAGATTCATTCTTGAAACTATCAAGATATTATTGGCATATACGTTATAATTACTATTGTTATTAAACATAAAAAGTGCCACTTTGCCAGGATGTATTCTTTCAAAAATAAGAATAGTTCTGTTAACTATTTGTTTTATAAGATTTTAATTTATCCACTAACCATCTCAATTAAAATCTGGATACATAATAACACATATTTCAGTATGCAAAAGTTACTAGTCATTAGGAAGCAGATTATTTGTAGCTTATTTCTCTTCTGAAAGATGAAGATATCCAATTAATTCACAGATAAAATTACTTATATGGATACTAAGATCTTGAGATTTACGTCAGAGTTAGTTTTCTTCTATAGGATTCTATGTTTTAATAACACTATCATTAGCGTAAAAAACTGATTCATCATAAGTAATTGAGACAAGTTCAGGAATATTAGGTAAAAGTATTAGTAGAATAACTTGCTTCATATTTTTCCCTTTATATACTGTCATTCAAGATTATAAATTGGCTATTTATTTAAGGAATTGATTTCAATATGCTACCATATCATCACACTTATGGCCATCAAAGTAAATATTCTTTAAATGATCTTTATAATCCTAGCCAAGATAGTATAGTCACAATCAAGTTATTATTTTAGAGATTATTTTTTTTTCTTGAATCCAAAAGTTGATATGGTCTTTTCTTCAATAAACTTTATAAAATGGTAAAGGGTCAGAATAAATTTATTCATGTGCAAATATTGGAAAATATATAACTTGAAGTCTTTATGATGTAAAAGAGAGATTTTTAAGTAATACCTATGATGTGATTTATGAAATTCACCTTTGCTTAACCATTGATTTATCTATGAATGAATAATTCATATATATTATAGATCTCTATTAATACTATGCACCAAAAGCTTACTAGCTAACAACTTAGAAAATTCTTGGTCTAGAACAAGATAAAGAAATTGACTTGCTGTACAAAGTCATATATTCTCAAACTTTTTTACCAACAAAGTATCAAGAGATACCAAATTAAATTTATTATAGTTATCATTGTCATTATTACTGAAATTAACTGCTTTATTAAATAGAAGATCTGTCTTGTCATAAGTAAAATTTGCTTTGTTATTGATGGAGGGATTGCTGGAAAATCAGTCAGTAATTTTGCTAGAATCTATAGCTACTTTTTTTAAGATTACTCTCTTATTATGTAATATTAATTCTGCAAAGCCAACGTAAAATTATTTTTATCCTTTTATTATCTATGTATCTAGTTATCTTACTTGTTTAACAAGTTTCTCAAATATGCTTGGTTTTATTTCTTTTAATTCTTGTATAAATTAATTATTCATAGTATCATTATCTTTTATTCAAGTGATATCAAAGCTCGGTTTATCATATTCAGTATCTGATACTAGTATATTAAATTGATCATTCATAGTATCATTATCTTTTGTCTAAGTGATATCAAAGCTTAATTCATCATATTTAGTATTAGATGTTTGTATATTGAGTGTTGACTTATTATCTTACCACTTTTTGATAGCAGCCAAGTAATGTCTGGTATATTTGTTATACCTAAATATTATAAAAAATTTGTTAATAAATTAATTTAAAAAATAAATAAATTAAGAAAATGAATAAATTGAGAATAAATTATCCCTTAAAAAAATTCTTTAATCTTAATGATGAAAAAACCAGGATACTTCTTGAATTATAAATAAAGATGTACTTATTTTATACATAAAAGATGATATTTTTTCTAAGCTGTCCAGGATAGTCAATTGAAAGTCTAAAAATTTTTTTGGCTTTTGTACAAGCATTAATTATGTGAAAAATTATGTGAATTATTACTTATATAGTATGATAATTATATTGAATTTCAGCAGTAATACAGTTATTTAATTTTTTAGACTTTCTATACCATACATTATCTTGGCTGGAATTATAAAGATCATTCAAAGAATATTTACTTTAATGGCTATGAGCGTGATAATATAATAGCATACCAAAATCAATTCCTTGAACAAATAGCTAATTTACAATCTCAAATAGCAATATATGAAGAGGAAAATATGAAGCAAATTATTCTACCAACACTTCTACTCAATATTTCTGAACTTGTTCTAATTACTCATGATGAATCAGTTTTTTACACTAATAATAGTATTGTTAAAATATAGGATCCTATAGAAAAAAATCAACTCTGATATAAATCTCAAGATCTTAATATCTATATGAGTGATTTTATTTGTGAATCAATTGGATATCTTCATTTTTCAGAAGAGGAATAAGCTGCAAATAATCTGCTTCCTGATAATCAGCAACTTTTGCATACTAAAGTATGTGTTATTATGTATCCAGATTTTAATCAAGATCTTATAAAACAAGTAGTCAACAGAGCTATTCCCATTTTTGAAAGAATGCATTCTGGCAAAGTGATACTTTTTATGTTTGATAAAAGTAGTAATTATAACACATATACCAATAATACCTTGATAGTTTTGAGAATGAATCTTAAGAATGAGGGTAAACAATCACTTTTCTGTGACAGAAGGATGTTTAATAGATCACCTTATATTATGATATTTATTGATATTGACAGAATAACTAAACCAAAGGATATCTAGCGAATTCTTGAAGAGTGTGAGTTATAAGTACAAGTATTGATGAAGTAATATGATTTATACAAGTCATATATTGATCTAGCAAATTTACAATGTTATGCAGCTGGTATTCTTAGTCGACAGCCTGATTTTATATCTCAAAAAAACTATTTGCAAGAGATTATTGAAATGGCTGGTCATATGTGTATTTTTTATCTGAAGTTTCACTGTGAGCTCAATTATATAGAGTTATTTTGGGGGAATGCAAAATAATATTCATATCTATATTGTAATTATACTTTCAAAAGTCTCAAAGAAATAGTTTTACATGTATTAGAGTCCATTACTTTAACCAGGATTCATTAGTTTGCATGTCAATCTAATTGATACATGAGTGCATTCAAACAAGATCTTTCAGAAAGAGCTGCTGTCTTTGCGGTAAAGAAATATTGATCACATCATCAAGTTCTAGAGAGTGTTTTAGAAGAATTTGGTCATATAAAATAGAAATGAATTGCATCTGGAAAATTGAAAAATTATATTTAAATCAAATTTAGAAGGTGGGAGTTGCATTTGAAAAATTGTGAGATTATGTTTAAATAATTGTTTTTCTCTTTCTCTCTTCCCTTAAAATAAAAAAATAATTCATGACATTACTGAGCATATACATAAAAGTGATCTTTAAGAATTAAGGATGATAACATTTAACATATTTATTTAAAGTTTATTATTAGTTCACTCTATTGAAGACTAATCACATGTATCATATAAAACTAATCAATCAGGTGTTACAAATACAAAATCATGTGTGTCATGTAAAGATCTAGCCAATCAGAGAAGACTTCTTGGCACTGAAAATTTTACAATTTATTATTTTTTATAATAAAGTATTCATAAAAAAAGTTTAACTACTCAATAAATTATTATTATACTTTGTAAAAGAAATATATATAATTATAGCTCTTATCAAAGGCTATTTAACAATGTATTCTTTTTTAAAATTTTATTTTTAGATACAAAGTTTTAGTCATTCAAAATATTGGATGGCTTTAGACTTTCTGCACCATAACACTAAATTTTAATTTTTTTTTGTTTAACCTGGTTCTAAAATTGGGTAAGTTACACAGACTTAATTTTGATCGACAGTAGTCCTTCAAAGACTTTTGTTACATACTGTATCCTAATCAAAAAATGTTCTCTTCCTCTCAATATCAATCAGCCATTTGAAATTTCAATGTGTGAATTTAATAAAGAATGATGACCTATTGTCTTGAATATATTAATCAGATTTAATTATAATTTTCTCGTTAATGGCAACTAGTGAAGAACCTTTACAGGTTTCTACACTAATTACAGTACATGTAATATCAAAATCGATCGTAAGAATTTCGATTCATTTATTGGGAGCAAAATTTTACATATATAAGCGATATAATCTTAACTTTAACCCCTAACTATATCACTTTATATTGCGATTTGAGATTAGTTTTACTGTACCAAATTTCAAAATTCGGACTCTGAATTTTCATTGCATCCGATTAGAGTCATGATATTCGATGGGAACAGAATTGCCTTCTAAACTTTTTTTAATTAACAGTCCAAGACAGATTTATGTAACTCACTTTTTTCATCTATGACAAAAATACAGATTAGGAAATTTGAAATCCATCGATTATAAATTTTATCCGTCAATGGCCTGGAAAATCAAGGTTGTCCCGAACTACATGTACATGTAGTAATAAATAATTATCACGTGTTCTCTATGGTGTTAGGCCAAATACTTCGAAAGCCATATAAAGTATATTAATATAATTGTGTTAAGGAAATCGTTTAAAAGTTATGGAATGTGCATATAAAAAGTCAATATTTAATTACCTTTATTTTTCCTTGCTCACTCTTGATTGTTTAACTTTTTTTAGTCTTTACAATAAATTCAACAAAAATGCGAGTCTGGTGCTAAACCCGACAAACAGACTCCCGATAGTTCACTAGCTCGACAATCGAAATTCCGAACGAATAGCCAAAATCTCGAATGAGCGGCATCCCGAACGAACGAAATCCTGAATTATAGCATGAGTACCAAAATTACCACAATTTCAGGATTTCATGCATTTGGAATGTCGTTTATTATATGAATTGTCGAATACGCAATCTGGTATGAAGAAACTGGTTAGGTGGATCCATCTAACATCACGATAATTTAACATTGCGACGGTTAATGATCTCAATAATTTAACATTCAGATAGTTCATAATCCTGATAATTTAACATTCCAAAAAGTTCATATTCCAGACAAATTGTCAGGATTTTGAACTGTATTTTAGGTTGACAGGATTTCTTTAAAAGAACCGCTAAAGGATAGTGTCAAACTGGAATATTTGCCAAACTAGTAATTTTACCAATATTTCCATTCATTATGTAAATTATTTTACCAGATGCCGTATACATGTATTAAACATATAAAAATGGAAAATTTTCAAGCGGCATATTTCATATCGATATTTCTTTTACCTGTATTTCTAACGGTCAACTGTAGTATTAAAAAAAAAGATATATAATTTTAAAAACTCTTATATATGTTTTACTATATAATTATAACCGAGTGATACTTTGAGGGAACTGTACATGTACATGTATTTTGTAGGTCTTAAAAAATTCATTATACGTATGCAATTTTTTAGTACATTTGATGATGACAACTTATCATTATTGCATGACAGCACTAATAAATTGGAAATGCACCGATTGAAATATGCTGCTATTGCAGGGAAAGTTGCCATTTTCTCTTCAATAATGTTAGTAGTAGAAAAAGTTTTTTATTGTATTAGAATTATAAATTGATTTAGCAAGGAATCAAAGCATTAAAAATTCGTTTATTTTTATATCAAAAAATTATCATTGTCGTACAGTTCTCTTAAATAATGACATATTTCATATTTAGCATCATAAAATGTATAGTTTAAATATATATGATTCCCGATCTAGTATACATTATGGAATTTGAAGGTTGATTTCACAATGATAAAAGACATTATAAAACAATCCTCAATCTTAATTTACGACCTGTGAAGAATGGTAATGTCGTATATCTGCCATAGCAGGCGAAACGACTTCGTTTGATTGCGCATGTCTTAAATTGTCCTCACTAATATTATTGTTGATACTCGTCGAGTTTTTACGTTTCCAATAAAATAGAAAAATAATTAATCCACCAATTACTATCGCAACAACGCCAACAACTGATCCACCAATAATTGCACCTAAAATCATTGTGTTTTTATTGCTTTGATTATTTGCAGGATTATTTGCAGGATTACTTTGATTATTTGCAGGATCACTTTGATTTTTCGGATTACTTGCTGGTGATGAAGGCAATACAATTGTTGGAATGATAGTGGTTGTTTTTGTACTAATGGTGTTATTTGATGTAGCGCTAACTTTCACATCATCGAAGACGCAATTAACTCCAACTTGAATAGATTTCGGTTGCGGGTTAGTGACCGCCAAACAGTAGGTATCGGAAGGTGAAACGGGACCAGACTTCGTGCAATTAGAAACTGGAACAATTGGTTTGTATCGGACACATGATGCGTCTGTCACGATATTTACATTACCAGAGAAATTTGAATCAATATAATTATTCATGGCTTCCTTTGTTGCAAGAACAGTTAAAAATCCAGCAGGAGCACCAGGATCAGCTTGTGTTGGATAACCGGGAACTATTACCCCTACACCACTCGTATTTTTTTGGTTTCCATCAAGTAAATCCACTTTCATAATCTATTATTTATAATATTAGAAGAATCATAAGCAATAATTATGGAATTTTTAGTCGTCTCTGTATTTTTTTTAAACTTACCCTCGTACTTTACTGCATTAGATTGGCTGCATACGTACCAAGTTTGTGTGGATGGTATTGTAACGACAGCATCGTAGGTTGTAGCATTAGCGCTCTGAGAAAGTGAGTAATTTAAGTTTTATTTGTTCAACTTGAAATGACTACTATTCTTGATAATAAAAAATACATGTACCTTTATAACAGAAAGAATCAAAATAGCTTTGACAGTACATGTATACATATCTCTTTGTATTGCTGATTACAGTATACTTTTATAAGTTTATTAGTCACTGGTTATGACATCAAGAAGAAAGGATACATGGCAATAGAAACAGTGTAGAATTTTCTATTATACACGACCCGAATCACAATATCAATATACATGTACATGACGGTAGACAAAAGTCTGGAATCGGGCGATGATCGACGTAATTAAGGGGGTAACAGTCACAGATCATGTCAAAAATAACTGTCTTAAAAAGAGATATTATTATATATAAATTTCTTAAAGAAAAATTAGTGAAAGTTTTACCTGTATGACAACTCTTTTAACTATAAAACAATCCGTTCCATCTTACTAAATAAAAGCTCAAAGCTATGAAAATATAAATTTCTTAAAGAAAAGTAATGAAAGCAACTTTTACCTATATGACAACTCTTTCAACTATAAGCTAACTCACTCTATCTTAAATAAATAAAAAAAACAAATAATTCATTTCTTATTTGTTATCTATTTTTTTCCCAACAAAATCATTATAATATAAAAGAATCTTTATGAAATTCTAATAATATCACCATCAATTGCTTGTTGCCAGTTTTCTTTTACAATATTAATTATTCTTTGAGTATTTAATATTTGTGGTCTACCGGATCGGATAGCAACTGTGGTTCGGCCGACCTATTCATCTTTTAAATGACATTATGAACTGTAGATTTAGGTCATCCTAGAATTTCTCCGATTTCATGCTCAAAATCCGTAAGTTGACAACTCCTGTGAGTATCGGTTGGATTTGACATAATTTTTTTTATGTCGTTTGAAAGTTTACGATTTCAGCTTTCTAAAGAACTACTGAATGTTAAAATTAGCATCTGTTGCAAATAACGATGCAAGTCACCCTCTTTATTTATGTCATTCACTCCCGATTCCAAACTTTGTCCACAAAGTGTACATGTATGTACATGTACATGCTTTTATATTTGATTTATTTTCAATCAGATTAAGATATTTAAATAAGAGATTTCATTTCATTCTTTTGAAAGACCTTCTCAAAGATTGCTGGGAGGTGTAACTTTAAATAGTTTAGTACAGTCATTATACTATACAAATAATGATCGGGCTCACCAAAAAACTACGTTCCTATATAGGGAAATTTTAATATATTTATAATAAGTTGGTTTTGAAAAACAGTTCTTATCTTATATAACTAAAATGAATTGATAAGCATTATAGATCACGCGTGGATTGAATGAACTTGACGATGAATGAATTAGCGTTAGTCAAGCTGAGAATACATAACGTAAAAGATTATTAGGAGATGCAGTGTGCAGTGCCATCTTTAATTAAATTCACTTTATTACACTATATACATGCACAATGGACGCTCGACACAATAACATGATCGGGTTAGAGTGTTACTGTAACAAGCTTTCAATGAAACTTAAACTGTGCATGCCACCTACTTTTTTCAAAAGAAAAATGTAACGATAACAATAATAATCGGATTAAATTTTAAATGTCATTTGCAACATGTATCTGAAGTTCAGGTTCCGAATCCCGAATTGATATTTAAGGTCTATAAGCATGGTATTTCCAGTCTAGTTAATACTCGTATATATTGGGTTTTTTCTAACATAATGATTCATAATAAATTATATTTCACGGAAATAAACAAATTTAATGAAAAATGGATGAAAGGCTCAAAATTCTATTAAAAGAATTTAGAAAATGCTAAAAACCTTTATCAAATCAAAGAAAACCCAAATTCAGAACTTGATGTTAACTTTTTGTTTGATGCTCTGGAAGCATTAAGCGATTTGTCATCGATTAGTAAAATTTATCATTCGAAGACCATATTTATGCTAAAATTGCATATACGAACATGGATTGCAGTTTTGAAAGCCATTTGTAATGCTGGTTTTCAACTAAATAAGGAGTGACGTGAGAATTATATTCCCAATTACCAAGATTCAATAAACTTCACAAAGAAATGACAAAAATACTTGAAAAAGGCGTGCATTTTTCAATCTTGAATATTCAGAATTTAATCCCGATAAAGAAGAACCAATTCATCTTCAGAATATGAGCATTAATTTTTTTTATTCACATTCGAGATACCCTTCATGCTATGGAGATTCATCAACCCACTTTCACGGAAATTAGGGAACGAACTGAGGCATTATTTTCTTCAATATTACCATTCTTGGTAATATTGCATTAAAATCGGTAACGCCACCAATGAACACGAATTTGATGCATTTTTTTTAATGGATTGCGAACTGCGTTTACCTTTAAGTATCCGATTTCTGATTGGTATTGAGAATGGAGGGTAGCATTATCAATAAAACATAGATTAAAGTGTGTGGTCATTTAAAGTAAGTAATCCAAAACTACAAGAATACGGCGAAGCGTTTCTTATGCGATGCATTTGTCAGCAAGCTGAAAATGAACGGAGTAAATCGATACAAAAAGCTAAACAAAAATTCCGTAAAATCATATACGAGCTCGCAAAATTCGCGCCTGTGAAATTCCCTTTTCCTTGTTGTTTGGGTTACTAGACCTTGCCCTATAAAATATCTCAAAAATCAGAAATGACTCACTTTAGCTACATGTTATTTTTTAGCATTAACATCCTTAAAAACGTCGATACTACTTTCAA